ACAGGGAGCGGAGCAGCGGCTTTTGTTAAGTCCTGAACATTATTTCAGCGCTGCTCTTTAGATTTAAGCTCCCGCAGTTCTTCCCATAATAGCTGAGAGAAATAAAAACACTGCCTTCCCCCTCCTCCTTGCCTCCCTCACGCACACCACACACACCCACCTCCTCCTCCACACTGTGGCATTATCCACGCAGTCCTCCGGGCCTGGCCCGCCACGCGCATGTGATTGTTCATCCCTTCTTCTCGGGCTGCAGGGCTGCTGTCAGGGTTCAGCTGGGATTCGGACTGCAGGGCAGCCAGGTTCCACAGTGACCTTACTGGACTTATTGTCTGTCGTTGGCTAAGGTGACAGGTGTGCATGGGGCCAGTTTACAGAGAATCAATCCCTATTTGTACTAGCTCATCGCACACTGGGCAGAATCTTAAGCTACCCAATGATGAAAGGTTTATGAAATACAATCCTGGCTGCCCTCTGCTCAGAAGTTAAAGACCTCATCTGCTTCCCATTTCTTATTTCTTATGCCCTTTCCTTCTTCTTCATCTGCAAACACTGAAATCATTTCTATAGTAAAGTTTTCTTAACTTGAAGGCGTGTGGATGGCAAGAGAATGCCATTTGGCCTAGAATTCGAGGTCCCTTCCATGACGTTAATTCTTTTCTTAGGGCCGTTCATGGTCCCCTGCAAAATAGCTGACCCATGAACTGGGAAGTAAATGGTGCATAACATGAATCTGGTTAACCCAAGGGGCAATGTGAGTCTCACAGATCTGATGGGGAGATGTACTTGAGCCTTCTGAATCAGAAGGAAGGAGCACTGATTGTAGTGTAAGGAAGTGCAGTTTCAAAGTGTCCCATTCCAATCACAACTTCCCCAATCAGCATTTCATTGAGTCAGTCATTCCCTCACTTCTAGTCACGGGCCACCCCCAAGGAAGGACCAAGCTGCTCCCTGTGTGAACAGTTGCCGCAATAGACAGTCACATTTCAAAGCCTGATAGACACTGAGACTCAAATGGAAAATGGAAAGGAAGGAAGTGAACTCCACTGATGATTTCCTTTTCACTAGGTGAGGAACAGGCCAGTTTGGGAAAAAAAAAAAAAAAATGTTCTGTAAATAGCCAAGAATCAGCTTTGCAATCTGTGATTACAGCAAGGAGCTGCCCCAGGCCTGTTCTGGTGATGTTGAGCAAGAAGAAGAGGATCCTTCTCTAGGAGGCTCCCTGCTTCCCTGTATGCTTTTGTGAAACAAGAAGGCTACTGGGAAATTTGACTCAATGTGGTAAATGCAAGCACTGAAAGAGATACCGCTCTCTGGATACTTTAGCACTGAGCAGCATTCAGAGGCCAAATTGGACTTTTGTTCAGCAGTCCCCGAGGGAGTATTTTGCCTCAGTGGATGCACCATTCTGGAGCTCCTACCTCCAGAAAGCTAAGTGCCCAAGTACACAAGCTTCACTCAGTGACACATAGGAGGCCATATCAATTTGGTTAAAAATAATAAAATAAATGAAAATTTGTTGGTGGCTCTGATGCACGGTTATTGTCGGATGGGGGTGTGACTGCTATTCCCATTTCAGACATGGACTTGAGATGACACAAAGTAAGTCTCTTGACTTCTAGTGGGCAGAAGTGGGATTTGAACCCAGGGAGATGCAGCTCTAGTCCACTTGGCCAGATAAGAAGCCACACCATCAATAAATGGGCAAAGGAACTGTACAGACACTTCACAGAAGAAGAAATATGAATGGTCGACACATATATGAAAAAATGGTCAACATTAGAGAAATGAAAATTAAAACTACCCTGAGATTCTATCTCAGTTCAGTCAGAACAGCAATTACCAAGAATACGAGTAACAGTAAATGTTGGCAAGGATGTGGGGGAAAAGGTGCACTCATACATAGCTGGTGGGACTGCAAATAGGTGCAACCACTCTGGAAAGCAGTATGGAGATTTCTCAGAAAACTTGGAATGGAACCACTATTTGATCCAGGTATCCCACTCCTCAGCATTTACCTAAAAGACTTAAAACCAGTATACTATAGTAATGCAGCCACATCAATGTTCATAGCAGTTCAATTCACAATAGCTAAGCTATGGATCCAACCTAGACGACCTTCAATGGATGAATGGATAAAGAAAATGTGGGATATATACACCATGGAAAATTATTTAGCCATAAAAATAATGACTTTACGATTTTTTGACCATAAATGGATAAATCTAGAGACCATTGTACTAAGTCAAATAAGTGACCCCCGCAAAAAACAAACAAAAAAAAGGTAGAATGTTCTCTCTGATATGGGGATGCTAATATACTTTGGGTGGGGGCAGAATAGAAGTTAATTGGATTAGACAAAGGGGAATGAAGGAAAGGGCGGGGAAATGGGAATAGGGAAGACAGTAGAATGAATCCGACATAATTTCCTATATTCACATATGAATACACAACCAGTGTAACTCCACATCATGTTCAACCACAAGAATGAAATCCAGCTTATTTTATATTTTATTTTATAAAATAAGTTATACTCTCTCTATATATAGTATGTCAAAATACACTCTACTGTCATATATATTTAAAAAGAACAACAACAACAAAAAAAAAGAGAAGCCACCCCAGTGACAACCAGCATCTCCTCAGGATGCCTGTCCTGTGTCAGCAGGGCAATGTTGTCTGTGTGCGGAAAGTATCTACTAGGGTCAGGTATCGTTGTATGTTTTATTTCATTTTGATTTTTAAAAATTTTATTGCAACACAGCAGGTTTAGATGGAAGAGCTCAGGCAGGTCTCTAGGTCTACAAATTTACCTGGTGTGTTTCCAACCCTAAGTTTTAAGTTACTGATTCCTCTGGCTGCCATATTCTTCCCTGTGCCTTGGATCTAATACCTTCTCCCTCCCTCTCAAAGCCTATCATGACTCCCACCATCTCCGCAGAACTTTAGACAACTGCCATGGAAAATGGCCATCTATTAGATGCTGTCTGATAAAATTAGCTATATGTACAAAGCATTTGAAACTCCATTAAAATACTAAGAGCAATTTACGGGGTTTTGCATATTTTTTCTGTATCAATAAACGTGTTGTTTCATACTATGTATTAATTTGTAATCTCTCATCTCATAAAAATAGCAAAAAAGATTGTGTGTAAGAATATTGGATAGATATTTGAGTCCCTTCATAGCATAGCAATTAGCTTAGGATATTATTTTTGAGGATTATTTGAGAGACAACTACTTAGACTCTAATCCTGACTGCGTTCCTTAAGACTTAGGTAGCAGTGCACAATTTTTTCCCTGAGCCTCAACATCCTCATCTGCGCAAAGGGCGTGATGATAGTTCCATTTCCCAGGTTGTGGGGATTTGGTGAGAAAAATGCACTAACCACAGTCATGACTGACATACAGCAAACGGTCAATAAAAATTGGCTATGATGAAAATTCCTATTGTTGTCACACATATGGGAGCTTAATAAAAATTGATAACTGTATGGATTTATTGTGGGACCCTGACAGATGTTCGTGTCCCTTCCTCTTCCAGGTCGGGACTCTAGACTTATCAATGAGCTGTGGTCTTTATCTTCAGTCTGGAGAGAAGTGAGATAGTGGTAAAGGGAAGCCGCTCTCCCCTCCGTACTGCCCTGTTATCATCTGCTGTCACAGTCTTTCCAAAGCATTTAATTACACATGTCACTGTGCCGAGCACTGTACAAAACGACTCATCTGTAGATAAGGTTCTTGTCCATTGGGAGCTTACAATATCAAGGGCATTTTGATAGACATATGAATTAGAACTTAATGGCAAAAAAAGAAATATCTAACAACATAAAACATCTTTAAAATTGAAAGAGTTCTTAGAAATTATTCCATTTCTTTAATGTTACAGACAAGAGGCCAGTGTTCACAGAGGTAAAATGACCTGACCTGTGTATGGGAGAAGGACTGGAGCCCAGGTCTCCAGGTTCCAGGGCAGCTCCCAATCAGGTATGCTGGGCTGCACAGCTCAGGAGGGCTGTCTAGATTCACTTGCAACCCAAGATGGACAGTCTCTAGGACTTGTGCCCACGAATATACACAGACAAGTGCTCCATTTATGCAATTTATAATATATATATGTATATATATGCATATATATATAGATAGATAGATAAGATTTTTTGGATTAAAAAGAAAGAATAGTAAATAGCTGCATATGGGTATCGAAGAATATTTCAAAACTGTGTGCTGAATAGAGTCAGGGTATGAATTTGTCAGAATCATTTAGGGAAGGTTCTGTGAGGGGCCAAGTTTTCCAGAATTTTTGTTCACATCATACAACTTGCTTCCCATAAGAGGAAGCCAAAAATGAGGACCATCAGCTTCCCAGGACTTAGAATTCTATCTCTTAAGAAGTCATTGAATCCATTCAATTACTTCTGGCTGATTTTTATTCTTACCTATCACCAAGGAGATGAATGTCTATAACTCTCTGAGGACATTTAATAATTGCATACAAAGTCTATACTTAGACAGTTCTTCAGCTCAACTAACTTAAATCTGTCTTGCTGCACATCAAGCCACACATACTTATTTTATTCTTTTTAGTGCATGTAGATTTATTTCTCCTTGGAAGACATTTCTCTATATTCAGACTGAAGACCTTCTCAAATCCCCTGTACTTAATCTCTTTTCATGGTATTAAGTGTACATGGATGACTTAGGAAATAAAGCAAGCAAATGAAAAATAGGAGTGATATAGGTACTCTGAAACAGGAGTGACAGGAGGAGAAAATAGAAAGTTATTTATTATTTTCAAAGCAACTAAATGGAAAGGTTGATGAGAGGGAGAGAAAAAAAAAATCTGTCACTGAATGATATTTCCATTGGAGAGGAAAATAGGAACCAACAAATGAAATTTGACTCATCCTTGTAAGTTTCACTGAGCATGAAAATATCCCTTTAAAATTTCCCGCAAGCCGTTGCTGGCTATGGGATTTTTCCAGTGCAAGAGGAAGCTGAGTTCAGGAGGCCAGGGAATGCCAGGGGGAAAGGGATTTTCTGATGCTGGGGGCTCTGAGACTGTCAAGTTTAAAAAATGAAAGTAATATAAAAGAGGCAAAGTGGCATTTATCATTCCATCTCTCCAGGCTCCTGTCTCTTTAATCAGCTAGCCTGATTTGCCCAGTAAATGATTCCTGAGTGTGTGTGTGTGTGTGTGTGTGTGTGCCCGCGCGCGTGTGTTGTAGCTCTGTCAATCCTTGGATTAGAACCAATGACTGCTGCTTGTAGGAGGGCTGTCCAGGGCCAGATTGTACAATGGGCCTCAGTGCCAGAGTATGAGTGGAGATAATTACGGAGAAGTCACACTCTCTCGCACCCTCCGCTTCCTTTTTGTGTCCTTCAGCAAAACAGTGGATTTAAATCTCCTCCTAGGAGCTTGAGAGCAACACAATCTATCAGGGGGAAAAAAAAAGAAAAAGAAAGAAAGAAAGAAAGAAAAAAAACCCGAACCTGACAAAAAAGAAGAAAAAGAAGAGGAAAAAAAAAATCATGAAAACCATCCAGGCAAAAATGCACAATTCTATCTCTTGGGCAATCTTCACGGGGCTGGCTGCTCTGTGTCTCTTCCAAGGTAAGAGCTTGCTATTGATTTGCCTACGGTAGACCCAGGGATTGTACAGTGTGCTTAATATGATTCGCAGACTCCCGGAGTCGGTTCTGCTGCGCGGTTTGCAGGTGGAGGAGAGAGCGTTGAAACAGCATGGCTGGGACTTCATTCTCCCGACCAGGCTGCGAGAATATTGATTCGATTCTGGCTGCTACCGGAATGGGAGAATGTATATGCATAAGTAAAAATGTGTCTGCTCCTCCTGTCAGGTCCGCGGTTAATGTGCTGGGCTCCTTGGCTTCCTGCACATTCTTGCACACATACACAAGAGAGCCCACATGTAAGCAGGGGAACGCTACGGATGGGGAGGATGGTGGGGTTGCTGATGTGCTGCTTATGTGACTGGGAAGAAATCACAGGAGGAAACTTTAAATATCGGCCAGTGAACTTGCAGAGCTTTTAAAAAGAGCAAATGGGGGAAAAAAAAAACGCAGGCTGGAAATAATTGGGTGCCTCCTGAAAGGTGCTGGTCAGTGATCTGGCTCCGAGGGATGAATCAATTTGCAGCAGTGGTTGAACAACTGTGTTAGTTTAGAATGTGTTTGGGGGTGTGTTTGTGGTGGGGGCCTGGGTGGAGGTGGGGGTTGTGGATAACAGAACAGATAAAAAGGAGTGAAAGCAGAGGGCTCTGAAATTCAGGAAAGCTTTTTTTAAGTTGAAAGGAGAGAGGCAATCAGAGCCGAATGCTAATTTTCTGTTTATTTATTGGCTGGTAAGCTAAGCCAGGGGCTGCAGTTGAGAGCCAGTCTTGCTCTCTTGCGGTGTGCGCTTTGATGTTTGCTGTGCTGGGTGCAGGTGCATTTGGAATCTGCCTCCACCTTGAGTCCGTTTGCTGCACTGTGGAGCCCCCACCCCGTGCCCCAGCCCTCTCACTTATTCCAGCAGCAGAATGAGCTGCTCACCTGCTCGTTCCCACCCACCCTGTCCTTTGGGGGCTCTAGTTTCGTTCTTTCACATTAAACACACTTAAACTCGTAGGGTTGACACAGGTAGAGAAACTTTCCCTGGGTGGTCCAGCAGGGATCTCCAGGAGGGCCCACCCAAGGGAAGTCGGGGAGCTGCTGTCCTATGCAGTTGTATTCCCAGAGGAAAGTTCAGTTGGGCAAAGTGAAAAAAAGAATGGAAGTCCCGCAGCTTCGTTCTCCTTTCACTGCAATGTAGTGGTCTGGTGATTTTGTTCAGTCCTGTGCTCTAGTCCTGCTGATCTCTGTCTGAGATCAGGCTTTGGGGATGGCCAATGTCCCTTGCAGATCCGCACAAGGTGGGCACATGGATCACCGCTGGAAAGAATCAAATGTGTGTGCAGCCTTGGCTGGTGCTCCAGAAGGAAGGTGGAGGGATGGGGAGATGGAAGGGATCAGTGTCGAATGACAAGGAGGTCCAGGGTGGTGGACTTTGCAGAGATATCCATGACATTGCGTCTTGTGCCCAACCCCAGGGGCCTTGGATGGCTGTCCTCTCCCTTGGGGTATTGGTGTGTGAAAGAGTGAAGGGATTGAAGTTAAATGCATCCTTGGTTGACTCCTCTTACATAATGTGGAGCAGAAGCAGTATGCGCATGCATCGTTGTGTGTGTGTGTGTGTGTGTTGCACACACACGCGCGTGCCCCTGGGTACGCAGGGAGACCTGAGTCCTAAACTGGTAGTGGAGAAACTGAATTCACAACCATGCACCTTTAGGGAAACTGCTTCTTGCATCCTGACAACAGAAATGCAAACTAACTAGGCAAGGTATGGAGCGAGGAGTCCAGGGAGAGGAAAGGTCCCAAGCCCTCAGTCATCTCCATCTGTCTCGAGATCTGTGTCTCTTCTATCTGAACTTCAACCTGGAGACAAGGGCCAAAATTCCACTGTCAACAGCCCCACTGGCTGCATGCCAGGAGCCCCAGGGCCATACTGAATTTACATATAAATTAGCATACGTGATTTTTTTTTCATCAGAATTAAATGCAGGGAAGCATAATATTTGCTCATACTTTGAATCGTCCCTGAATAGATGAGTAGAAAGTAGTGGTACAAATTTCTCCAGGGAGAAATCTGATTTTATGGCCTCATTGCTGTCTTGGAATGGGGGTAGTGGTGACCAGGATTATCTCAGACCTGGTTACATTCCACCAAATCCTGAATTTCCTAGGGAGAGTGATGGCTTTATTTTTGCTAGCCACATTCAGTCAACTCTGAATAGGTTTCAATGTGTCATAATAGAACAAGGCTGCCCAATTTTAAGGCAGAATGACCCCCAAAGAACTCCCATTCCATATGCCAGGCGGATGTGGCAGAGGTGATATCTGTTTTCTCTTTCAGGGGAAGGAAGCTGGAGTCTGCCAGCTATCTCTTATCAAACTTACAGAATTACTGAGGCAGCCCAGGTCTTGCCTGCAATAATCCACCCCTATTGCATTGACCCAGAGGGACTAGTTAGAATGCAGTACACATTCCAAGGCAATTTTTTCTTCTCTGTTTTTGTTTTAAACTGGCTCTTCCTGAGGCGGCTACTTCCAGTGTTTCCTGCCTCTTGAAAAGGTGTGTGGTTCTGGTGGCAGGTGATGGACCCCTTCCTGACCTGTGACTCCCCACAACCCAACCAGCAACCATGATCCAGCTTAAAGAAAAGCAGGAGGGAATTTCCAAGGAATCAGCGTGCTGATTAGTGTGGGCAGCTGGGAGGGGGTGATTGGCTCCCTGGGGCACTGGCCCTGAGATTCACCAGGGTTGATTAACTAGAGGCACCTCTTTCCTGGGAACAGGAGCAGAGAAGCTGCATCAGGCGCTATCCTTTTCAGCACACCGCCCACCTTCTGCCACGAGAGGCTCTGAAAAGAATGGCTGGGTGTGCTGCAGATTTCTCTTTCTAGAAACCCGACCATTTCTCCTTCGAAGGATCATTGTTCCTTTGAACACCTGCTGATTAGTTTGGTTAGATTCTTCTCATACCTTTCTAATTTTCTTTCCTCCCCTCACATTGCGTTATCAACTTGGCTGTTCACTAGAAACACAGACAGGGCAGGTTGGAAGGGAAAGGAGGCTTGGCCAAGTTCATACTGTCCTTTGCTTGGTGTTGAGGTCATAGGCACCATTCACTGAGGCAGACCAGCCAACTTCCTGCCACTCATGGTAAACATGTGAGTGCCTGCAGCAGCCAGAGCCACGCAATGCTTCTGAGATAAGAGAGTTGCAGAGGAGCCCATAACAGCATTCAATGGTAACACAGAATCATCAATGGTGATGAGACCCTGGGTCCAATGCAGGCATGTGGTCCCTGACAACCATGCTTGAAGCTTCCAGCTCTAGGGTGGTGATAAACAGGGTATGCCGAGCACTACAAATGTAGATTCCCCCTACTTTCTGTTGGGGTATGGTCCTACCAACAGCACTGGTCCTCTGAGCATTTGCTGAGCAGTGCCAGCTACGGTCTTGCTACATGACGATAATTCTTGGTATTGTCTTTAGTTACCAGGCATCCCAGGTTTAGTTTATTTGCCAGGTGCATACCTGCTCCTGGTGCTGATCCTTCCTTTTTTGGTTATTTAAAGCCAAGTATAAGAACCCCTTTATATCTGTGATAATGTATAGTCCCTGACTTCTGTTCTTTCTTAGTAAGCTTCTCCTACAGCACTTGTATTAATTAAGGGGTCCTGAACAATGACTTTAGAATGTGTCTCTGGATTCCCTGCAGAGGTGCTCCAGTCTGGATTGCCTTCTAGCAATTCCCTGGGGATCTCTTCTCTGCATGCTTTCATTCTGGCAGAGTTGAGACACAGGGACCAAAGCTGGTTCTGGCTGTGCATTTTGGATAGGTTGGTGTTGGCTTTAGCCACAATAATACCCTGGGATGAAGTGAAATCTCCGATAACCTAAGGAGTGGCTGAATTTGTGAATCAATACGGGATATGTGATCCTGCCATATGCAAGAAACACATCCCTTCTCTTTTTCTATGGTCATGGTGTCCACTCATGGTGATATTTGACTCTTTTCTGAGTTTTCTTTGTTTTTTTCTTTTCTTTTTCTTCTTTTAGCTCATCCCTGTTTCTGCCTACAACTTAGAATGAGAAAGTTTTTTTTTTCTTTATATCTAGCCTCAGCAGAGGTCCTACACACTCTTTAAACACCCCATGCACATGGCCTCCAGGTGTCAAGCCAATTCTAGTGGCCTGAGCACAGCTCAGTGGGGAACATGTGCATATCTGAGCTCAAACTTTCCTGTGTCTTCTATAGGGAAAAATCTTTCCCTCTGTGAGCCTCTCTCCCCACCTGCCCGCCAGGCCGGGGAGCGACTCCCCTGGGTGTTGTAAGGACTCATTAATGCTTGTAACACTCCAAACATGTGGTGCTAAGTGGAACTCCATGCTGAGCCCGGTTGTGTTTATGCGGTTTACTTCCTTTCTGCTCTATTGGCTCGTTACATGTTTACTTTATGTCTATAGTCATTTGAAATTCAATAAAAACAAATTAAACATAAAAAGTGAAAATATGCAAGCATAAGGTAGTGGATGGCATACAGGTTGGGAAGGGTGTCATCCTAGTGGTTCGCTCCAGACCGTCCTTCTCCCTGGTAGCAGATGCTCCATTCCATTGGAGGGAGCACTGGGGAGGAGCCAGGAGCCTTAGAGGAAGCTGGCAGGGAGAATCCCCCACCCCATCCACTTGGAAAGCAGGTTCCAGATGGGGGTGCAGTGCCAGCAGTGTGAATGACAAAAAGGAGGACCCTTGGGAAGGATGGGAGCCAGAGATAGGAGCTTCCATGGTGGGGGTGGGGGGGAAATCCCTGCTTTAATCTGGATTAGCAAAGGAGAGAAGAAGAAAGCTCTTTCTGCTTTGCCTACGATTTTGGCTAGTCACCTCTGAGAGTTTCTATTGTCTTTTATGTATTTATTTATTCATGTTATCTTCCAGATTAAGCCTGTTCTCATTATCCCTGCTTAAACTTAAAGGTATGAGAGTGCACCCGCTTTCCCTCTCTTTC